AATGCCCCACCCTCAGACCCTGCCTCCTGATGAAAGACCTTTCAGCCTCCCTCCTGCTGTATCTGCTGAACAGTTGTCTTCGTTTTCTATTGGTGCTGTAATGATTAAATTTAGTGGCTTAAAACAACATGCATGTATTCTCTTACAGTTCTGGAGGCCAGACGTCTGAAATCAGTTTCACTGAGCTCACGTCAAGATGTCAGCAGGGCTGGTTCCGTACTGAGGCTTCTGGGAAACAATCTGTCCCCTTGCCTTTCCAGCTTCTAGGAGCCACCTACATTCCTTGTTTCTGGCCCTTTCCTCTATCTTCAAAAAAGATCCCTTCCACCCCATGGCTGTCTTTGTCACTGACCCTCCTGCTTCCCTCTTAGGAGGAAACTTGTGATTCACACTGAGCCCACCCAGATAATCCAGGATAATCTCCTTATCTCAAGCCTTTAACTTAGTCACATCTACAAAGTCTCTTTCTGCCACTTCAGGTAACACTCACAGGCTCTGGGATGAGGCTACAGACATCTTTGGGAGCCATAATCCAGTCTCCTACGGCCTTTCACTTCCTAGAGCTTCCTCTCTTGTCTCCCAGTCAGTCCCCTCTTGACATCAACTACCTTTCTTATCCAATACAGAAAATGAGTGGAAAGAAACTATTCCCTTTCCAGCATCTTCAGTTCTCTCACACTCTTTTCCTTACACCAAACCCAGCTGGATGCCCCTCCTGGAACAATTCTAGAATCTGCCTTCTCTGTTCTTACAATCAGGAAATCAGTCTTCCGGATAAAATCTTCCCTCTCCTGTGTGAAACCAGCAACTCTATCTCTGCTCCTAATCCCTTTCCCTCCTTTCAGGATTCCTCCAGAAATTATTCTGTTTAGATCCTCCATCTCTGCCCTTCGACTAGATCCTTTCCCTTAGAAATAAATACTTTCTCCTACCAAAAAGAAAAAGTGGCCGGGCACAGTAGCTCACGCCTGTAATCCCAGCACTTTGGGAGGTTGAGGCGGGCAGATCAGTTAAGGTCAGGAGTTCAAGACCAGCCTGGCCAACATGGTGAAACCCTGTCTCTACTAAAATGCAAAAATTAGTCGGGTATGGTAGTGTATGCCTGTAATCCCAGCTACTCGGGAGGCTGATACAGGAGAATCCCTTGAACCCAGGAGGCACAGGTTGCAGTGAGCTGAGATCGTGCCACTGCACTCCAGCCTGGGCGATAGACCGAGACTCCATCTGAAACAACAACAAACAAAGAAAAAGTGAGGACTTCTCGTTGTTCCCTGGCTAAGTAAAATTTAAAATCCTGGGCATAGGACAACAAATAATCCTAAGAGAACTACAGAATGTTGAAGGAAGAAAGCAGACTAACAAAGGGCTTCAGGATTTAAGGAATCCGTGTGAACAAGGCTGAGTTCTCTGGGTTTTCTTTTTATCCCCTATATACTTTGGATTTGGAACTGGAATATCCTGTAAATGGCAACAACCAACAATCAAACAAAATTTAAAAAGAAAAAAGCCCCAGAAAAAGTCTGTTATGTCTAGTCAACGAACAGGGAAAGGGACCATCCCACAAAACAAAAGCGTTGACAATGCTCCTCCTACCCCTGTCAAACACCGTGCATGTCCCCTGCTTCCACAGTGTCAGTGAAGACCACACGGGAAGTCTGGGATTCCCCTCCACACTTGGTGGCGGCAAGTGACCCAGGACAAGGCTTCCCTCCCCGCCCCCCAGCACTGTGTTGGGGGTTCTGCACTCTATTCTCCCAGTTACATACCCTTACTAGGAGTTGGTAACATTTTCTTTTTGCTTTGACCACTGCTTCTTTTTGAAACATATTCTTCCCTTGCTGTCCAGGAAACCACAGCATCCTGGGTTCCCCATCTCACTGAACTTTTCAGCCCGCACGCACTGGATCCTCTTTTTCTACTCAACTATGTTTAGCTGTTCTCTAGGGTTCTGATCTCTGCTCATTTCTTTTCTCATGTGACATGTCTTCTCTCTAATTAGCCTGCCCTCCATTCCCCTAGATTTTTACTTACTTAAAAAAAAAAAAAAAAGTTGAAACAAGAAGAATGAATAAGACTGGAAAATAAGGATTAAAAATGAAAAAAAAAAGTCACATTCATTGAAGTGTAATTTATACACAGTTCATCCATTTTAGTGTTAAGTTCTATGAATTTTGACAAACATATGCAGTCTTGTTACCGCCATCATAATCAAGATAAAGAAAATCTCCATCACCCCCAAAATGTTCCCTTACATCCTTTGATGTTATCCTTTCCCCCACCTCCAGTCCTTGGCAACCACTGGATCTGTTTTCTGTCCCTATAGTTTTGCCTTTGCCAGGAGGTAATTTTCCTGTACATATTTACATCTACCAATAAAGATAGTGCCTTTCACATTCATATCTCTAATGTTAACCTTTCTTTTGAGCTTCAGACTCACCTCTCCAATGTCTCATTTGGGTCAGACTGAGGATCTTTTCTTCTTCATGCCTTGAGAAGGTGGAGTGATTCAAGTTACTCAACCTCTGTGAGTTTTAGTTTTATTCCATAAAAGAGGGTGATGGTACTTATTTTACTGATTTATTGGTGGGGGTTAAATAAGATAAACGCCGCCTAGGAGACGACAGGCTGTGTGTACAACAGATGCTCAATGCATAATTAATCGGCTGCTTTTGATGAAGTTTCATTTTCTCAAAGGGACCTCAAAGTTGTCCGGCCACCTTCAGATAATGAAGCATGGGGTTTCTGAGTCATAGGCCAATTTGCTGGAGCGTTCAGGCCTCATCAGAGACTAGAAATCATTTTTCCCACTGGCCAGTGCTATCTATGTGTTCCTATAACATGTCGGTGAGAGGATGTGTAACTCTTCAGATAACTGCTCATCTGAATTCTCGGAAAGACTTTGCAATACAATTGAGTCTTGCAACCAACCAATTACTTCATGTAATGAGAATGCCTTAGGATCTCTGGTTAGCTTCAAGTTTATGGGGCTGATTTATATCTTAAATGAAGATTGTTTCATTTCAGATTCCTTTTACTTAAAGGCAAAAATAAAGCACAATGTTATACTGCAGAAGATACTACTCTAATGATTATTCATAGGGCCTCCAGGGCCTTTAAAGTAACATGTGCACGAAAGGCCTTGTTTCACATTGGATGGGTACAGGGAGAGGTGGCAGGCCCATCCACTGCTGCACACTTTTGCATTCTAAGTCACCATGTTTTCACATACTGTGACCCAGCAGCAATATGTAATAAATTCTGAGAAGCCATGTGATACTTCAGTGGATGCCACTTCTCAATTTCTCTCTAGTTGAACTAAAATAAAAAAAAAAAGAGAGAGAAGAAAGAAAAAGAAAAGTCCTTTAATAAAAGTAAACTGACAAGGATCACATTGTTCTCACTTAGAACAGACAAAAAGGAATTAAAATGTTATGACATATGCCAGGCCGTTTTCACTAATCCCTTAACCTCCAGAGAAAGGGCTTGCAATTAGTATTACATTAGAATTGTCACAGCTAAGCAATTCTTTTTAATACTAGAAGGACTTTAGCTGATTTTATACTACACATATACATTAAAAATGCAGTTAGAATAACGCAAAAGAATTAAAATTACAATTGAGGTGCCACACAGTAAGTGAAAAAGGTTTAACGGTCTGTCTGGTCGTAGAGCTAATAACCACTTTATGCAGAACACAGTGAAACAAAGGTGCCTTTCTCAATAACCAGAGTGCATCTGTGGCCAGCACTATTTTGCTAAGGCCATATACGGCTGTACTTGGTTACAGGCACATTTGTCAAGTGAGACTATAAAAAACAGCTGTATTTGAGATGGCACAGGCCTCTGCACATTTTCTCCCTGTGGCAGCCAATTAGAAATCTTGCTGACAGGCAAACTTGTACAGAACAAATGATCCCATTTAGATTAATTCCCCTTAATGCCTTACCCAGGCCTACTTTGCTGGCATATCATGGAGAGCAGGTCAGTTCCATTCAAAACCTGGAGATAGAAAATTCAAGCTTGATTAGTTGATAAAATATATGACTATACTGGTAGAGAATGTGGAGTGCTCAGTCTCTGTAAAAATAAGGCTGGTGGGCTCTACCCCAGCTCAGAGTTCAGACACAAGGTACTCTGCAAAACGAGCACCCAGCCAGAGAGCAGTCTAGGGAACTGGGTTTTAGCTGCGGCTCTGTCCTTACTGTTTTGGTCTTCACTCTCTACCCAGGACCAGGATACACCCATACCTTTTGCCATAAAACTGTGAAATGCCGTCCCAATCCCTGGCTCTGGGCTTTTGCCCATAGGATGTTAAGCAACACCACAGAGGGCTGAAATGTGCTTACCTGGCTGTGATCGCTTGCTCTCCTGCCTCTGCCATTGACATGAGAAGAACATACCTGGGCTGCCCACTGGGCCCACTAGAATAATAGAGACCAATGGAGCAGGTGTGTCAGCTAGTCCATGCCAAGCTCAGCAGTCCAGCCAAGCCCTGCCCAGATACGTAGACCCATGAGAGAGATAAATGCTTTCTGCTGCAGGCCACTAAGATTTTGCAATTGTTTGTAATGCAGCAAAATGGTGGCCCTAGTTAACTGAAGCAGTTGCCAGAACTGCCTGCTCTTGGGCATCCCTTTTCCTATCCGTCCTCCAGGTCTCATTGACACAATGAAGGGGGGACTGGAGGAACTCTAATTCCTACTAATGACAGCTTCAGACCAGGAATCCTGGGACAAAAGGTGACCAGACTCAAAGGTCTGAGATCCACTCAGGGCCTAGAAGGAGTTGAGGAAAACGATCCCACTGGTACTGACGTGGGCAGGCAAGGGACTTTATCTCAAAAAATATCGCCATGAATGCACCAGAACCATGGAAACAGTCAGCGACAGAAGGAGGGTCTGAAAAACCTGGGCCGCAGCATGTCCTGATAGCCAGCTCTCCAACAAACTTGGTTTTCTATTGGTTTAAACCCAGACAAATAAGCAAGTCAGAGACAGGACTGGAGAAAATGGAAATCTTTATTTTTAAACACTAGTACATTTTCAGGCTGCTTTAAAAAAGAAAAAATCATGTTACATTAGTTCAAAACTATGCATCAAAGCATATTTATTTAAACTCTAATTTTACAAACACATAATGAAAGAAACATATATTTTATAAATATCTACTCGGAATATGTATTATGAAAAAAAGTGTTTAAAAATAACAGCCCCAGATCTCCCTCTTTAAATATATAAAATTCGCATACAATTCATAAGAATTCTTTCTCAAGAGCCAAAAGTTTCATTTCACAAAGGCCAACAACTCAGTTCCCATCAGACACAATCAAAAGTAATAGGAATATTTAAAAATGTAAAAGTTCTGTACAAGGGAAATACAGATAGCACATGGGTAAATCTCATTAGCATACATGCCATTTGTGTTTTAAAAATGTTTTATAAAAACTGCTGTTTAAAACAAATAAGTGAGAGTCCTTCCCTGACTGTGGAAAATATATAAATTATCGCCCTCCCCGCCAGGTACCGAGGCGCCACCTGCTGGAGTTGGAGAGAGAGGTCCCTGTGTGTTTCCTGACAAGGGGCAAGGCCGCACATGGGGACCTGCCTCTGTGGCAGTGGCTTTTCCTAGTGGGTGATTCACTAGTATTTCCTTTCACTTAGAAAAATTCTTTGGGATCATAGAAGACAATTGCTCACAAGTGAAAGTAAGACAAGAGATGATTTCAGATTGCGGCATCCAATTAATAATGTATATTTTGTATTTTTGGTGACCAAACTCTGGAAACCTGATTTACCACTGTCAGAAACACGCCCCATCACCTGTGCCAGCAAAACTCATGGCACAGCCCCAAGGTTGTCCCTTCATCTTCTCTCTTCCAACCCAAGCCGCTCTGCTGCCTGCGCGATGTACAGAGACTACTGTCTCTTCTGACACTTCTTCTGGAAGGAGCTCTTCAAAAAAGTGCGGTACACAGGGTCGGCCACATATTCGTTCTTAAACCTGGAGCTCAGCACTCTTTGTCTCTTTCTCTCCCCTTGGATAATGTCTGCTCCATAAAATGTGTCTTCAAATCGCATGTCAGAGGCTGTGGACTAAAAGCAGCTGGCGTTACATTGCAAAACGGTACGGCATTTGATCTTCAGACGACTCGACAAAGGTCTGACTCCGTTAGCTGGGGTTAGGGTGCAGATGCCCCAGTTACTAGCTCAGGCTAGAAGGGCCCCAGGCATGGCTTTGGGCTTTCCCTCACCTCTCCCACCTAAAGTGGGGGGCTCCATTTAGCCCCACTTTCTCCAGGGCCTCCCTACCCACCACTCCTAGGGACCTTCCCCAAACAAAAGCAGGATAAAAGGCTTCTCATTTTTAACTCCCCTCATTTCTCATCTCCCCTCTGGTTCTTGCCCAACAAGGTTTTTGACAAATGTCAACCGTCATCTCTAAGTTACCTTTACTCCTACTTAGCTTTGGGCCTCTGCCCTACTCCTTCCCTGAAACTGTTCTTACTGAAGTCCTGGTTGCGAATTCTTGTGACACCTTCCTATCGCTAAACTGACTTGACGATTCTGCCAACTAACTACTGCTTAAAGCTCTTCTCCGTCACTTTGTAAACCCGTTCTCCTGCTTCTCCTTCTCTGACTGCTCATTTTTGACGTCTCAGGGGTTCCCCTTTTTAACTATCTGCTCAACTACAAAGCGCTAAGGCTTGGCACTGGGGCTTCTCCTCTCCACTCCTGTTCCCCGGGCCTTTGTGCCCACACCCCTGGCTTCGGTATCTGTGCAGAGGCACACATCTCCTGTGCCAGCTCAGGCCTGTAGGTGCATCTGCCCAGCAGGCTTTGCAAAGTCTCTGTCTCAGAGGCCCTTCAAATCAACCTGTCCTAAATTGAACTGAGAGCCTTCCTTCTCCATCGCCGTCCTTCCTACCTTCCATAAAAAGCACCATCCACCCCCATGCACCCAGTTACACTGGCCAGAAACCTAAAGTCATTGTAGACATTTCCCCACTGTGTCCAGGATTCCTCCTGTGTGTACCCTGAAGTGCTTCAGCCTTTCTTCTTGATCCTTACTGACCCTATGGGGCAGGCCCTCACACTTCCTCTCCAAACCACTGTAATATATGCTGCACCTCCAACATATTTCCCACAGTACCACAGGAAGAAAACTCTCTAAAAGCCCTCTTATGATAAGGCTCTACATGATCATATGCCCTTGCTTATAATTTTCCAACAGGCTACTGCCTTCAAGATGACATCCCCACTTCCTGGGCTAGACCTATATAAGCTGGCCAGAAGCCTGCCCCATGCTCTGCTCAGACAGCATCAGTTGCAGGTCCTGGCCATACTTGCCTGGTTCAGGGCCCCAAGCTTCTCTGTCTTTGGACACACTGTTTCATTTCTGTGAAAGTCATTCTATTCTACGGTTTCTGCCCTTGGCAAGCTTAAGGGTCCTTCTCCGGGACTTTTGTGGCCCTGACACATCCACTCAGTAGGGTGAGGGCAGTGGTAGAGATAAGGAGCAGGTAAGTTTCTCCCCATCAGAGGAACCTCATAAAGGTGAGGACATTAGGGGCTGTGTACCCAAATTTATATGTATTCCCCACAGCAAACAATGTGCCTAGTACTCAGCTTTGCTGTTCAGTGTTTGCTGCGTAAGGGCATGTGGGTTTTTCTGTGATACTCAGGTAAAGCCTAACGTCTATAGTAAGCACATTTTTGCTTCCCAATTCCCTACTATCTTGCCTCCTAAAATGCAGCTGTTTCCACTGAGGTGGGTGGCTTCTGATGACATCAACACACGGCACATTTCACTGTGCTGAGACCGCTTCCCCTGGCTGCTGGCAGAGGCAGAGGTGAAAGACGCTTGAGGACTTGAAAACACACGGTCCATGAAAAGAGAAAAATGAGAAGACAGCTGCAAGGAAGCCTAAAAACAAAAAATGGACCCAAGTGCAAAGCTGTGCATGTTTCCAGCCCGTTCATGGGATAGTTACCCAGAGTAACAGGCCACCTCCACAGCTTCCCCCAGAAACTACCTAGTTTCACTCGGGAAGAAAACGAAATCATTATGGGCTGGTTGGGTTCCCTGTGCCATTAGGAGAAAACACTTTTGTTTCATTCATTCTTGGCAAAATACTTCCTCTGAGTAATCTTTCACTTTTATAAGTGCTAAAGTTATCAAAGAAGAAAATAAAACATCTATGAAAGTGTTGGCACTGTGCGGAAACAGCAAAAGTCAGCCTCTCAAACACGATAATAAAACCGATTTACCAGGAGCGCTAGCTAATTATGCACCGTTGCTATGGTTATTCTCTGAGACAATAAAAGGTAATGGGGCTGTTTCTGAAGTGAGTGGAATAGAACCCCGCACAATCACTGAGGTGGACTGCTGGCTCTTTTGAACAATTTCTCCCGCAGTCAGCGTGTGTCTGGGTGAGCCAAAGTCATTAAAACACAAGGCCTCCTGACAAGGGCTGCTAACCTCCCTCCTTAAAAAACGAAAAGACATTTCTAACCATAAAATATCTTCCATCAACGAGTTTTCCAATTAGATTTGTTTTGTCAACTGAAAAAAAAATAGCAATCGCGGACAGATTAACCAAGGGCCTGAGGGCTATGCACCAACCCGAAGGAGAGGTAGGCTGGCTGCAACAAGACCCCGCATGTCTTTTATTCAATAACAACAGAGATGGTCAATAGGACTTAGTGACTGTGAGCCTTTGTTCCTGAAGATATTTTCTACTCGGCTCAGCTGCTCAGCATAGCAGGCTGCATCAGAGAGTGTGGATGTGATTTATATATTTTCACTATTTTTTTTTTTAATTAAAAATTTTCTGAGAATAAAAAAAAAATGGAATGTTGGTGAGCTTGTTCAGTGAAAAAGACCGTAGAAAACCCAGGAGCTGTGTTCAGAGACAGCCACAGGGCAAGGCATCCTGATATCTTAGCGAAATCTACTGTGAAACAGAGATTGTGATCAGAGTATTAAAGCAATGAGCTTTCTTCTGATGTGATTAAGAAATAGTATTTGAAATCTACAAGACTCAGCTGGTAGGAATCTAAGTCATACATGGATTAGAAAATGAAAGACCTAAGAGACTTCCAGAGGCTACCTGCTCTACTCCACACCCTCTAAATCTCTATGTGCTGAAAAAGGAAAAGAAAAGAGCAGGAGAGGAGAGTAAGGAAGGGAAGAGGGGAGTCTGAGGAAGACAGGAATACAGAACAAGAGGAAGCTATCTCTAATATTTCAAAAGGAAAGCTTTTCTCAAGAGATTTCAAGGTCTCAGAACAGTGACAAGTCATCTCAGGTTTTTAGGTCTTCCCTAAGATTTGGCTGCTATCTTTACAACAGGAATATTTAATTTTTTCTTTGCTTGTCATTATTATCTAGTGGTTACTCTATTTACAGGTGGGTGGGTCCCCTCTGAGCCACCTTTCTCACTGAGTGGGTAGCGATACCACCACTCTTCTTGACGATTTCACGTTGAAGGACCTTCCTCTGAAGGATGCAGCTGAGAGGAAAGTCAGTTCCCACCTGATGCAGTTACTCTGCTGCCAGGATCCCATCTGATGGGAAAGCTGCATATACAACTGAACATTTAAGGCAAGCTTGTCCAGTCCTGGCCTGCCGCCCAGGATGGCTTTGAATACAGCCCAACACAAATCTGTAAACTTGCTTAAAACGTTATGAGGTTTTTTTGCAATTTTTTAAAAAATAGCTCATCAGCTATTGTTAGTGTATTTCATGTGAAGCCCAAGACAATTCTTCTTCCAGTGCGACCCAGGGATGCCAAAAGATTGGACATCCCTAATTTAAGAAAACCCTTGGTTCTTCCAAAATAACCAAATAATCTAGTTACTCTATCGCTGCAGACAAGTATATCATAAGCACGTACTAAACTGAAAGTGTCAAGTATTCAGAAAAAAAATTCACCTTAGAAAAACCTCGTCCATTCAAATTTCTCTATTTAGGATTTATCATTTGACAGATGCAAGAGATATAATTCTAAATGAATAGATCTGACTTCATTTTAGGGCCCACTAAATATTTTATGATACAATAATATAAAGCCAAAATTATTGTGAATTATGTTTTTCAACAACTTCAGTTTTGATTATCTGTCTGTGTTTATCTTTTAATGGTATGCGAGGGCATGAAAATAGTATTTCCCTTTTTAAAAACTGCTTTAGTATTCCCACAACTAGCATTTAGGCTTTGTTTATCCCCTTTATTATGAAAGTCAGAGTTTAGCTGAATTATGAGTTGACACAAACATCAGTGACTTTCTGAGACAGAAGTTAGTCAATCTGTGATAAACCTATAGAAGAACAGATAGACATTCACTTACGCTGAGTCTTCTTTGATCTACTCCTGAATACTTTCTTTTAATGTTGCTTCTACTAACAAGAGTGCAAATGCCTTGATGGTATCTTTCTTCACTACTGGTGCTCTGCACAGAGCACATATTCAGTAGCTATTTTTGTGCACCAATAAATGTTAACACAAAGAAACATCATTTGACTTCATTAGAAGAAAAATAAGGCACATGCATTCATTCCCTGATTTTGGCTGAATCTGAAGTTTGCATTCAATTAAATTTCACTAAGGAAAAAGTCGTATTGGCTTGCTTCATAATTAATCCAAAACCCAAGTATGTTTCTGCCAAGCTTGGGAAACATGAGGTGAGGACAAGGAATTCACTTGGCGGGTCTCCAAGTGGCATCTGCCAGCACTTACAAAACGAGCTTTCACTCTCTTGGGTAACTCTTCATCTAACGTGTAGATGTCCTCTCTCTTCATTGCTATCTGGGATCCGTCTTCAAACTCAACCTAATGAAAAGTAAGATAACATGATACACATTAAAAAACAGTATTGACTATTTTTAAAGGTTCCAATTAACTACATAAAAAGATGAAAAAGACTCAAGCAGAATAAACAAGGGAACCAGCCAACAACCAAGGAAGTAAGAAGACTTCTTTCCCTTGTTAAACTAAGTAGAGGCCCAATGTAGTGGCTCACACCTGTAATCCCAGCACTTTGGGAGGCCAAGGCGGGGAGATCATGAGGTCATCTCCAACTAGCCAGTATGGTGACCATCTGGCCAATATGGTGAAACCCCATCTCTTTTAAAAATTAGCCAGGCGTGGTGGTGTGCGCCTGTAGTCCCAGCTACTCGGGAGGCATGGCAGGAGAATCACTTGAACCAGGAGGGGGAGGTTGCAGTGAGTCTCCATCTCAAAAATAAATAAACAAAATAAGTACACAATGCATTTAAAACAGGCCAAAATTTTTGTAAATGAGTGTCTTGGAATATGCAAAATGAAAACTTTACCTGGCAAAACAAAAACAAAGAAAAGTAGCTGCCGATCAAATGGAAATCACAAAACACGAGACTGTGGGAAATTTAGCATTAAGATGGTTTGGGTCTGTTAACACCATTGATTTACTTAAGAGATTCTGACAACGTAACCAGAAGAAATGTTTCTCTCTGTGAAAGAAAATGTAACATATTTCCTTTTTTTTTTTGGAAACAGAGCCTTACCCTGTTGCTTAGGCTGGAGTGCAGTGGTCTGATCTTAGCTCACTGCAACTTCAACCTCCCAGGCTCAAGCAATCCTCTCCTCTCAGCCTCCTGAGAAGCTAGAACCGCAGCCATGTGCCACCACCGCCCAGCTATTATTATTTCTTTAAGTAGAAACAAGGTCTTACTAGACTCAAGCAACTCACTTCGGCCTCCCAAAGTGTTAGGATTGCAGATAATAATCCTCCCAGATAAAATAATTTCTCCAATTATCACAGAGCTTGAACTTTCAAAACTCACTTTTGTCAAATTCAATCAAATGCCATCAAAGGAGCTGGGAAAATCTGTTTCTCAACTTCCTAACATGTAAACCTAATCGATGTGTGAAAATACATCATCATCTAAAACAAAATGTTTAAAACTTTTTTCGCACTAACCAAATGGAAGCAAATAATTTCATAATCAGTTTTTTCAACATTTTAAAAGATTTTATCAAAGAAAAGGTAAATGACACCAGTTAACAGAAACCTAGAGTACCTTGGTTAAGGTTGGGTTAGGTTTAATCCAACATGAACTCACCTAGCAGAAAACAAAAGGGATGTCATCAGGTAGAATACCTAATATGCTCTAATTCTGAGCCACATAATATTTTTATCCCTAAATTTTGTCTGAATTTTTCACTTTTAAGAAATGAAAACGGCCGGGCGCCATGGCTCACCCCTGTAATCCCAGCACTTTGGGAGGTCAAGAGATCAAAACCATCCTGGCCAACATGGTGAAACCCCCTCTCTACTAAAAAATACAAAAATTAGCTGGGCGTGGTGGGGCTTGCCTGTATTCCCAGCTACTAGGGAGGCTGGGGCAGTAGAATTGTTTGAACCCGGGAGGCGGAGGTTGCAGTGAGCCGAGATCTAGCCACTGCACTCTAGCCTGGCACCTGGTAACAGAGCAAGACTGTCAAAAACAACAACAAAAAAGAAATGAAAATATGCTTGTACTTCCAGTCAAAAGGCAAGTTAAATCACACTGCTGTGTTATGTTAAAAAGAATCTAGAGCTTAAAAAAAGTATACTTTTTTTGTTTTGTTTTTTGGAGTTTTTTTTTTTTTTTTTTTTTTTTTGAGACAGAGTTTTGGTCTTGTTGCCCAGGCTGAAGTGCAATAGCACGATCTTGGCTCACCCCAACCTCCGCCTCCGAGGTTCAAGCAATTCTCCTGCCTCAGCCTCCCGAGTAGCTGGGATTATAAGCGTGTGCTACCACACCTGGCTAATTTTAATTTTTTTAGTAGAGACAGAGTTTTACCACATTGGTCAAGTTGGTCTTGAACTCCTGACCTCAGGTGATCCACCCACCTAGGCCTCCCAAAGTGCTGGGATTACATGAGTGAGGCACTGCCCTGGCCACATTTATTGTTTAATTAACAGAATGTCCAACTGATAGCTGCACTTTTAATTAAACAAACACCCTCTTAAGCTTCGGTGGATGATAACATTAACTGGCCACATCTGTGCCAATGCATTGGTCTACCTTTGCTGAGATGGCCAGGTGGCTATGTCTCAAAGGCAAAAGTTACCAGGTTGGGGGTTCCTGGTTGATGAACATCCGTCACTGTCTTAATAAAAATCAGACATACAATTGAATGTGATTATGTACATACTGTTAGTATTTGAAGAAGCTAAACAATATAGTGGAATTAGGTGCCCGTCACATGAGAACTCTTGCTGTCACTTCCAGGAGGGCTGATGCTAAGAAGGGTTTTCTTCCTGGCCTTGTTTGAGTAGAATCGTTTCTTTAACGTTAAACTAGGCCAAGGTGGCATCTCTTTTACACAATTTGATGGCATAGCTAGAACCACCTGTGCCTACTTTCCTTTGCTTGAGATCATTTGAAACAAAAAGGCAATTACAAACCTAGAAGGGAGTATGCTATACCAGGACTAGGGTAACCAACCTATTTCGCCTGGAACTCAGGGCTCCCCTGGGATGTAGTTATTTTCAGTACTAAAATCAGGGATGGTCCCAGGCAAGCAGGGATGATTGTCCACCCTAGTTAGGACAGAGCTGAGAGAGAATTCTGACCCTCTCTTTACCAGCTATGTACTCTTGGACAAATTATTAAAAATTTATTCTTAAATCATTAAAATTTTGTTCACAGCCTTTCTTACCTCACTTTTAAGATAGGAGTCAAGTAACAGCTAACATTTTGCAGGACTACTGTGAGGGTCAAAAAATGCATATGCCTAGGATATTAAGCACTGTGCAGCAGGTATTTATTTATCTGTCATATCTATTTTTAAAACTGTCTTTGTTTATTTGATGGTAAAGTTTAATAATTAGATACAAAACACAAAAATCTCAAAAGGCCACTTGGCTCAATGAGGAATTTTAAACTACTTGTGCTTGAGAGACAATTTTAATATTAGTCTTAACTTTTTCATGGAGTCTATAAATATGCCTATATTTTTATGTTGACAGGCCATCATAAATTCAACTGAAGTTAACACACTGATTACTAATTAGCCCAAATTTCAACATGTTCTCATCATGTGATACTTTTCATGTAGCAAATAGCTTTGCTACATGTAAGAAGCTTTACTTCTGCACTTACTATTTAATTAAATGTAATTATTTTCTTTTGCATTACGTAGTAATGCTTCTTTTACAGAAGCCTCCAGTATTATTAGCTCATCTTGTGATTTATGCCTAATTCTGTTCATTCTAAAGCAAAGAAGGTCCAGTTATTCAATTTATATTATAAATATATTATATAATATGCTATTATAAATATTATGTTTATAATATGACTTAAATATTATATTATAAATAACTGGAATTTGTATCTTGAGACTGTCACCAATATCATATACAAAGGGGAAATGGCCTTTATACACACAGATACACACACACACACACACACACACATACAATGTATGTGTATACATCCTCCCCTGTCCATTCCTCTGGGGTTTTTCTAGACCATGAAAAATGTCTCTTCTAAGTTTTCAAACTTCTTCGAACACCTTTAATTACACTGTGCTCCAGTTCCTGACGTGATGTCCTATAATGCACTCTTCCATTTAAGCTCTTGCTCCTTATCAGTCTTTGAACATTTCTGTGTTGAAACTGACAGTCTTATCATTCTCAAGCTGCTCTTCAACTTAACAGGCCTGAACCTTCTTGCATTTTCTCCTTTTACTTCAGTCTTCCTGTTTTCACTCTACAGTTTAGCCTGAGAATCTTGATTTTTTTGACAGTGTTACTGAAAATTCTACAATGTATGGGCTCTAAGTGTCCCCTTTTAAAACCTTTCTGAAGGAACATAAATGCACATGTGCTATCCATGTTGTTTCCCTTATTGAAGCTTAACCTCTCATTTCTGAGTGGAATAAAATAATTCATTTTTAAATTGTATACATACTGTTTAATACTATGTAGGGTTCCCTAGTGAACAGAATATCCAATTGACAGCTGTAGTTTTCATTTAAACAAGCATTCCTTTAAGCTTGGGTGGATGACAACCATCAGCTCCTTGTGACATTAACTGGCCATATCTATGCCAATGTACCATTGTCTAGCTTTGCTAAAATAGCAGGTGGAGTGGGGAAGAGTATGTCTCTCAGCAAAAGCCACCTGCTGGTTGTAGAGTGGCCGCCACCGTCCTGGCTGAAGGTGAGATGAATCGGTCAGTCAGTCAGTCTCTCCTCATAACACAGAAACAGTGGGAAGCAGCCCGTCTTCTAGTAACTTATCTTTCTGGCAGAACCATATTCCTTACAATTAAACCATTCATCAAATGTTGTTAAAGTTTTCCAGTGTCCAACTTGGTAATAAAACTCCAGGGTTTCAACCTGGGTCATTAGACATTGAATCTTTGCCTCTTGCATAAAATAAAAGGCGCCTCAAATTCATGTGCCTTATTGATCAGCAGCACACTTGAGATACTATGTCCTCTGACTTATCATGTCAGTCTCAGCAAACATCAGAGAGAAGGAAGAACCCACCTGGTACATGTGGGCAATATTTGATCCAAAATATTTTGCTCCGTAGAGTTTGCCGTCAGGCCACTTGACTTGGACGACTTCTCCCTCAGCAGGAGGGCCCAGCTTCAGACAGTCTCGGCTCTGCAGAATAAACAGAGACAGGCTTTTCAACACGAGTGCGTTAAGTGACTGCATTTAGAACTTAGCAAATGATGAACTCCTGGCAATTAAAAGGAGTTATTGCCTCTGTGTTTTATGGATTATGATCTCGCATGGGTGTTCAGGGGAAGAGATATGAGCCAAAGGAGTATTTAAAGATTCAGCCTACATCATAAAGTTGCAAAGGAGCCACCATAATCCAAGCAGAAAAAAAAAACCCAGCAGCATTTACATTTGCTATTTGAAAAAGAATTGTTCAGGGGGTAACTAAAATATGCATAGAAACCGCTTTAGCTGAGGAATAGACCAGCTTATGATTTATAACACCTGACATTTATATGGCATTTTGTGGTTAACAAAATGCTTCAGCATACATCTCATGTGATCTTATAATCACTCCACGATGTAGGAAGGAATTATTAATTATCCCCATTTTACTGACGAGGAAACTGAGACTCCTGCGAGGTTCCTTTAAGTTGCCAGGATCTCTGAAGGAGTGAAGTTGAATGGGAGAATAAGAGCTGAAGACACCCAGGTGGAAGTGCGGCAGGGGTGCAATTGAAGCCGGGAGGAATTGCCAATGCAGCAGAGAAGGGAAAATAGTGGCACCTGCAGTGGTGGGTGGAGCTCGGTGGGTGTGTCCTATTTAGCACACCCCTTCTGAAGACCCCCTGGACCTCCCTACACAAGTGTGCTTCTGCCAGCATCTCCTGTTAATTAACTAGCCCATCTTTTCTACAGGTAATTATGGTGGCACCCATAACGAGAATCTTCATTTCAGATCTTCTGTTTCACATTGCCACCTCCCAAGGCAGTAATTCAGAGCAAACTCCCCAGGTGATGAATCTTGAAAGGTGCTTGTTTTTTTTAAGGCGTGGGAAGGGGGACATGGAAGATAGCAAAAACATTTGCACAGGCATTGTTTGTAAACTTTTAAATTTGCATGGATTGGGTAGAACACAATACAATTTTATTACAAGGAATTACATACTTGACTATGGTAATTTTTTTTTTTTTTTTTTTTGCACATTCAGCAGTTCATGATTTGCTAATACGGGTATTTTACTAATGAGGACAATCTGAATGATTGACATGCATACTTGACGAATCGAGCTATAAATAGACTGCGCACACTATGTGGTTTAAATGAGAGGCATACACAGGAAGTATTTGTTTATGACTGGAAATTACCATGTATTTCTTATTATTAATAGAAATTGTGCCTTATAAAGGAGTGACCATTTGATTGCTGGGTTAAGAGTATACATGGAAGGCCCAGCTGTTCATTTTTCTAACTGCGGGCTATGCTTCCATTAGAGCTACAGCAAAGAAAAAACAGTGTGCTCAGAGGCTCTATAGAACTGACAATATGCATCTAACTTAGTCAAATGAAAGTAAGTCTATTCTAAGCCTTCATAATACTTGACCTTTGGGCAGGCAGAATTAAAAGGGTAGGCTGTGGAGATATACTCAATGTCTGCCCGTGGGTTATCACCTCTCTTTCCATTTCCATTCCAAAAATTTATGTGGTGCCAAGAACACTGGAAGTTATAGCTGCTGAGTACACACTGATTACATATGTCAGTCTCCAAGGTTAGAGAGTCCCATCAGTTCTAGATTCCTCTGCGCTGAAGCCCAGGTGCTGGGGTAAGCGTGGGGACAGGAGGTGGCATACCCTTCTTCCTGCTGCTAAAGCTTTCTCCCATGTGAAGGGATCTCCACTCGGTAATATATCTGGTTCACCCCCACTTAGCCTTTTACAAGAGGATTGGGAATGACTTAATTTTATTGCTGATTTCTGAAGGAGAATGCATTTCCCAAACTATGTGCCATCGTACCCTGCCACAGCAAATTCACGGGGACCCTGTGGGATAACTGGTGAGTTATCTGGACTTAATTTACTTAACACATAGAACTGTTAGGTATTTCTTTTGACCAAGAGCCACTCTAAAAAGCATGCTGAGATACTAAGGGTGCCACGAGCCAACAAAGTTTGGTGACTTCTGGCTTAGCCTCTTCCCTTTCTCTCTGGAGCCATCATTCAGGGAAAGAACCTGCACTCTGCTCTGCACCTTCTGCAGCGAGAAGCCTGCGCTTTCCTGCACTGCCTATCACTAGGTAAGCCTGTTAATTCCAGGGTCCAGTATTTGAAACCTGTTTGCCCACAGATATAAGCCACACTCCTCAATATCTGCGTTAGTAGTCATAAAGGTGATACTTTACATCTCCAAATCCTGACTCCTTTGTCTCGCTTTTCCTCAGGCATGGTGAGATATGCTATTTATTGGGTCCTCAAATCTCAACAGAGGCAAATCAAAGCCTCAGGAAATTCGGGAGGCAGTACTTTGCACTTTCTTACCTACCACAAACAAGTTTCAAGTAGGAGAGTTACGGCCTTCCTTTATCATTTTGGTCCTTAATTTTACAGATTTGCCCTTCAGCATAACTTTATTACTCTTTAAAATAGAATTCCTCAAAATAAATCCCGACCTGCAATTTTAGGTACCATATCACGAAGGTGAGGTGAGGGACACAGAAACAGGGGCCAGACAAGCATAAATTCCATTAGAGCAGTTTATCTTAAAAACTTAGTTTTATTCACAAACTGAATGGATGCAACTTTACTAAGTGACAATTTTTTAAAAAAAGGTTTTGGAAACAATGCCTGAGATACTTTGATATCTTTTATTACTAATTATAAATTAACCTTTTACTCACAAGAAATCTTAATTTAGCATTGCAAGTGCCTGACCTCAACTAACTCATTCCTGCTCAGCCTCATCCTGACGTTGCTCTGTATCAGCCACAAAGATCAAATTCATAATCTTTCATGCCAAACTCAAGAAGACACTTCAGTTTGCTTTCTCAGTCTTCTGCTTTCAGAACTTTTCTTTATTTATAGAAAAAGAAAAATAACAAACCAACTATGTAACAATATAAGTTATTCTGTGCCTCCCCCACCTTCAAAACCAGAGGCATGATTCTCATCCTTAAGGGCTCCTTTCTCACCCTTTGGCAGGTCCTTCAGCTGGAAGGACATAATATTTTGATGTGCATATAACTTTATTTAGTATGTATAATTCATGATTTACTCCCTAGCTACTTTCCAAATTAAGTTAAGGTAGCTTAGAGTAAAACATAAAAGAGCTTATTCCTGTAACATCTAGTTTCATCCATAAAGAAATGGTGTCAATTCATCAGCTGTATCACATTTTGAGTTTGCCAGCAACTTCTATGACTACGTGAGGTATAAATTTAAACAAGAATGAGACTAGAAGCATGTGGGCTGATGAAAAGAAGTTGAAACTTTGATATTTAGGCTTCTCTGATCTCCCCAAAGTAGAAGCTGGTGGGTGTCCCCCAAATTGTTTCAATCACTAATTCAAAAACCTATTTACTGACCACCTACAGTGTGTGAGACACTAGGAGGCAATAAAGCCTAGCAGCCCAGGGACAGACAGAGGGTACTGCACCCACAGCCTGTCACACCAAGCCCACGGCTCTGTGGGGTGGGGGCTCCGGAGTCCTTGCAAGGGGTGAGATCTATGAGGAGAGGACTTCAGAGCAGAACTTTGATTTTATTTATAAATTAGGTTTCTGAGTAAAATTTCATGGGGGGGGGAAGTTTCTTTCAAAAATAAAAGGTCTGAAAAAAATTAAGTATATCAAAAGGTCTAAAAAAAAAAATGAAGGGATTTAGTTTGTGGAAAGCAACAGCTTGAGTGGTCTGCCCTCCCTCTTTAAGGTCTCCCGCTGGCTCACAGGTCCTTGGGTTGAGCACCAGGAACCAGGCACTACAGCACAGCTTCTCAAAGTATGTTCCCAACCCTGGTGTACACAGTAAAATGAGGATTCCAGGGACCCCCAAAGCTCTCTCTGACGTGGGTGACTTCTTTTAAGCAATCTAGAATTTAAGATTGATTATAGAAAAGGATGTAAAATGCTAAAGAGGCTTTTCCTAATGCAGTTTACTTAGTATGTTATTGGAGTAAGTAAACACCTTTGCTGGAAAATTATATGCATTAAAACCTTGACAAAATGCATTTTTCTCAGTTGCTGTCTAGACTCTTTGAAGCAGTTCGCCTTCACCTAATATAAATAGCTGTTTGCCATTTGCTGTACTGCCTCCAGGATGTGTAAACTCGCCTGAAATCTACCAGAGCTTTGTTTACAGGACACTGGTGTCTGGAGCTGCCAGTAAGCACACAGCTACAGCACTAAATAGATGATGTGAAAATTAAAGACAGAAATCATAATCACGGTGAAGAGTGGCCTTTTGGCTACAATCAGTTCTTTAAAGGACTGAGAGGAGTACTGAACCTAGGGCAAGAGGATGGTGTCATCACATTCCCGCCAAGTCAGGGCCAAACTTCTGTACCTGCTCTACGACTAAAAGGAAAAATTGAACTGCCAGTCTGAGTACCTGAATCTGAAGTCACTGAGTTCTTGGAACTCTTATGCAACCCTTCGAAAGGGACCCCTAGAAGTTGCTATCCTCAAATGTTGCCTGTCTTAGCCCTATCCCCATCCCCATCACTGTTCCTTACGTGTATAAACCACAGAGGCAGCCCCATCTGTGAGCCCAGTTGCATCAGATGAAGATGCGGCACATGTGTTCCCAGCAGTTAATCAGCATATAGTTTGGCTCCCCTGGCAGTCCCCCTTGGGGAGAATGCTTAGGTGACCTGGGGCAAAATGCCAACGGCTGCTAGCATTTCCAGAGATAATCACCTGCTCATTACTGGACCCTGGCACAGATTAACAAGACTGACTGACAGCCATGTAAGAATCGTAGTGGCTATCTGTCATCTGTTTGGCTGCCCAAATTTGGAAATCCCTTCTCCCCACAGTCTAATGGGACTGAGCTGGCCTGACATCACAGTTGCTGAACACTGCCAGACGCTCCCTTCCCCAGCTTCCCTCACAGCAAAGACAGCAACAGAGGCCTGGCTAGTGGGCTGCGCGAGCCCAGGATTTACAGC